CAGAAATGAAAATTTTGAAATTCTCACTTTCTGCTGTTTTTAAAAACCTCTTTCCTTCTTGCTATTGAAAGTAATGAAAGGGATGAAGTTCAACATTTTCTTTGGGGTGGAAAGTTATTTTCCACTTCTTCATTTTCTTTTCTCTTTTTCCACTGCACCAGTTTTTCCATATTGGTGCATGGCAAAGATAAATTCTGGCTAATGAGGCCAAAGACCAAGCCTGTAGCTGATGCTCTGGGAGCTTTATTGAGGAAAAGTTATCAGAATATGAACGTGGTGGGGGGGAAGGGGAAAGAAAAGACTTTGTGGAAGGAAAGGAATTGAAAAGGAAAGGGCTGAGAAGAGTGGCAAAAAAATGTTTCTGAGCACTACAAATGGAAAAGAAACGGAATAACTTGAAAATGGAAAGAAGAGTAAATGGTTACAAATTGCCCCATGAAAGAGAAACAATGTCAACATTGACAATTTTATTCTGTAATTTAATTATAACCCAATTTGTCTTTTGGTGATAGCGTACAAGAGAGCATGTCAATGGCATGAGAAGCTCCTTCAGCAACAGCAAAACATAATAAATAAATGTAATTGCTAGTGATAATAATTAGACATTTCTGTGAAAAACAGTTCCCAGAACTACTGGAAACTATCGAGAAAGATAAATGTTATGGCTACTGCAGGGAAATCCATTTAAATGTATTCATGGTGATAAATAAAATAACACCAGTGAGGTGATTGTTATTTTTTTAAACTTTTTTTTTTAAATAGCAAAAACAAACAAACAAACAAAAAGCCTTCCCACACCTCCTTAGGACAATTCTACACCCTTACTTGTAGAAACTGACTGATTTCCTCACTTTAGCACCAAAGTAGCAAGACAACAATAATTACAGTAATAATAAATGGTAGATAATTAGGATAACCTGTCAATCTCAGAATGCTGCATCAATGATATACAAACCAAAACGGGGAAGAAATAACAATTGCTCCTCCAGAAATAGCCTTCAGCTGGTGAAATAAACCTCAGCACTAGTGCACATCATTTTATCAGGCAGAAAATAGTTTCTGCTCTTCCTGAGTTGAAGTGATAGTTTCCTGCTGTCCCTGTCCTGGACTGAGGTATATGTGCTTTCTCAGGATGGTGTGGAAAGGAAACAAGAGGATGAGAAATCCCTTAGTGAGGTGAGCAGGACAAATGTGAACTGTCGGGCAGAGTTAAGGGTATGGCATCTTCTCTGTGGTTTATAGGGCACGGTTTTCTTAGCAAGGAAGGAGGAGGAAGGCAGCTGGTGATTTTTCACTGTGTATGAGGATTCCTTATCGAGGATTGGTAACAGAGCACTTTTTCTTGGGTGGATGGCTGCTGTTTAATCTTTTCAACGCTTGTTAGAAAACACGAAGTCACTGCTGACCTGTACCGGGAAGGCGGTAAATAGCAAAGGCATCTCACTGAGGCACAAAGGAAAGCACGAGAAAGTGTTAAATAATAACATTAGGTGAACAGAGTGGGGGGAATGAATACTTACAGAAGGGAAGGACCCTCTCTCCCGGAAAGAAATTGCTCCAGAAAGAACATGGCAGAGGCGTGGATGCTCAGCTGCACATTAGCTCTGTAGCTGGAAGGGTAACTTCAGTCCTTAGGATATGTAAACAGGGGGATATAGGCTAGAGGCCTGAGGTAATATCATCTTTGTCTGTGGCACTGGTGTGACCACTAATGGAATAGTGAATCCAGTTCTGGTGCCTATGTTTCAAGAGGTTGTTGATAAATTAGAAGAGTCATGAGGATGGCTGAAGGACTAGAAAACACTGGGAGGATTAGAAAACAATTGTGAGAGGCTCAAGCAGCTCAGACTGTTTAGCTTAATAGAGAAAGGTTAAGGAGTGACTTGCCCACAATATACAAGAAGCTTCACAGGAAACAGAAGGCTTTTCAGTTTAACAAAGACATACATAAAACAAGATCTAACATCTGGAGGTTGAAGCTAGATGAATTCAAGCTAGAAATTAACAGGAAATTTTTAACCATGAGAGCACTTGGCAATGGGAAAGGTTTGCTGAATATTGTGGTGACTTCTACCTCATGATATATCTTAACACTTGTTTTGGAAGGTCTGCCGAGTGGCATTACATATATAGGAAGACCTTAAGGGAGCCCTGTGTCCTTCACTAGGCAGAAAGACACATTGCATAATGGTGTCACTTGGTCTTTAACATCCCACCATTTATAATCTATGCTTAGTCTAAACATACATGGCTATCTACACTGTTGTATAACAGTGTGCCTGTTACTCAAAAAGCCACTTTTGGTCTGTTCATACTCTTAAAATGTTACCAGGAAATATAGAACATGACTTTTACATAATATGTATGATATTGAAAACTTTCCAGGAGAGTTTTTGCTTCTTATCAGATCAAGCCTGGTTTGACAGTGCTAAAAAGAATGATCTTAATTTGTTAGTTCTACACATTAAGCACAGAAGGATAGTGACTCATTTCACTTCTCCCTTTCAGTCAGATGATGCCCAACTTTCACTTTTAATTTAAGTGTAGATCTTGCCAGCAATTAATATTGCTGTCTTCAAATGGTCCCCAGAGGGAAGCTCAGCAGGTATAAAATAACAGGGTGCTTTTGCAAGGAGTCTGTAAATGTGCCACCACAAGCTTAAAACGTGAACTTCCCAAAATGCAGTTGCATTATCAGTGCTGATCTCAGATTCGTTGCCCTGCTCCCTGTATAATTCATTAAGGAGTGAGCCTAATGAGCAAAATGAATGCATTCTTCTACCACAGCCTAAATGACATTCCTGAGTAAACCACTCTTTTTTCCTTCTTCCCTGCAACACTTTGCATGTGCTGTCAATTACAGCAGATTGGTTTCTCGTTGAATCAACAAGGTTTGGTGGTAGTTCCCCTTTGAAAGTTAAAAGAGAAGATGAGCATTGCAATGAGCGGATCAATCCTATGGTGCCAAACATTTGTCAAATGGGAATTAATGAAAGAGGAGTGTCCTTGCTAACATGCTAAATCCAGTTTGTAATCCCCAGTATAACAAGAAAACAAAGACATTTCCATCCCCTCTTATATCAGGAATAGAGGTAGGATGATGGAATGATGTGAACATAAAATAATTGTACACACAGAAGCTTATGCAAAAAGGCTTTGTTTGGAAGTGCTGGAAAGCCACTCACCCCGAAACAATGGGGCAAATTAGCATGCATCCAGCCCAAGGGTGCAAGCAGCACACACACACACACTCCCGGTGACGGATGCTTAGCTCTTGCTGGGAGGTCACCACTACGAATCTCTCTTGAGAAAGCAGCATGTCAGATTTCAGACACTTTCCCTACAAATGGGCTTTTGCAGCTCAAAGGAGGAGGTGGGGGGGGAGCTTTTCGATCCAGATAATAAAGTCCATTTACATGAAAAGATGCCGCTTTCAATGACATGATTAATTTCGGAAATACCTGGCATCTGAATGAAGCAAAGACTTCAAGAGATGACTGATGATGAGAAAAGATAATTAGGCAAATGTCAAGAGTCAGTGTTTTGATTGGTGACTGAGAGGCTGGTCTGACTAGGTTATCGTATACTGATTCCAGATGGAAATGAAAGGACTTTGTAGGGAGAGCAGGATGATCCCTTCGTGGTTAAAGACAAACTCTCTTTAAGCCATAGATTTTTTCCTTGGTTTTCCTCCACTGCAACCAGCAGGGAAGCTCTCCTGCTCCAGCAAGCGCCCTTTCTGAATGGCTTTTCAAATGGTACTGGACAAAGTTCAGTTATTGTTATGCCCTGTTTAAGTCTTATCACATTTGAGTCACGATCAATCTATCTTGCATTTTAACATTGAGAGGTTTTGGCTTTTCAAAACATCTTGAGCTGTCTTCTCCCCAGCTCTCCAGAGCTAGAAGATGGTACAGCCACTTTGCAGAGAGGACGAAAGTTGGTTGGTTCCCCACACCTCTCAGCTTCCCACCAAGAGCTCGGTCTGGCACTGAGCGCAGTGCCCTCCACAGGACAGAGAACAAACCAAGGACAATGCTGCGGTCCTCAGTGAGGCCTACTCTGACAGGACTGCCCTGCTGGGATTGACAGATTACCTCCCCTTCAGAAAAAGGGAGCATTCACAGGGCCCTCTCCCTAATCCATCACGGCACTCCAGGTTGTGCTTGTCACTGCTTGCTCCTTTTCCACGCATGCTGCTTTTGATTTGTGGGATGCGCTGGCTTTATGCAGGCATATTTAATCCTCGGTGGGAAAACCACTGATGCTGGAGACCTCAGTAGGCTTCCCAACCTGTTTTCAGATGAGCTGACAGCACAGCATGCTTCGTTTCTGCACCGCTGTGGGCCTGCTCACTGCCTAACGAAGCAGCTGCTGGAGAAGGCCTGCTCTGGGAAGGAGCGGGCGATGAAGCACTGCTCTGCTAAGTCATTCCTAATTTGGCCAGCCATCCAATGCCGAGGCTGCTATTAGTTAATCTTTGCGTAATTTGTTAAAGTAGGCTTTATAAAGTACTGGAAATAATTGTCTCCCTCCTCCCTCCTGAATCCCGCAGCAGCGCACGGTTAGGGGTTTAATAACAGACTGTATCGTGCAGTCAGAAATGGTGAAGGTTTTATAGCAGTGCATTAGCCAGAGGTGGATAACCTATCTCTAGAGGCTTGATTGACTGGAAACATATTCTCAGCCTGCTTAAAACTGCTTAGAGTGTGTCATGGAGGTCCCCCAAAATAAAACGCTCAGTGTATTTAGTGAAACCCTACACCCTAAGTACATGTAAGGGCACTGTAAGATACTAATTAGGTTGTAACATAAAACACCATAAAAAGCAAAGCATGACATACAAAAAAATGTTTAAGTTCTAGCCAGCTCTTTCATGTTAGAGAAATACATTAAAAATATATTCATAGCAAATATAGTGAGGCTTTGAATAAATCTGTTTCTAATGGTAGCCTATAGCTGGAAGAGATATTGCTCATTATGGAGAAATTTCTACTTACATTTGTCTTCAAATATTAGAAGCTATTCTTGTGGACTTTTTATTTATATGAAATAAAGAATCCAGCTTCCACAAAGACCAGCCAATTATCGTTATGATGACCACAGTCAAAGCATGCGTGCCCAGCACTTTTTTCCCAGTCTTTTCCCTAGGAAAGATATGGAAAACAACAGTGCCACATGAGAATAATGACTTTGCATGATGGCACACAAAAGTGGAATAATCATAACAATAACAGTATTATTAATAATAATAATCACCAAAGTGAAATTTAAAAGTACGGCTCAAACACTTTTCACTGAATCACTGAAAGGAAAGTCGTCATGAAAGAACTCACAAAGTACAATAATGATGTCTTCTTTTTTCTTTCAGCATCTAGAAATTCTCATATTCTTGCTATCCTAATTTTTTAAGCATTAGTTGTCAGCCAAAAGATTTTCTCCATGCGGATTCTTTTCTTTTGTAATCCAGTGACACTCAACTATATACATTGTATTAATTAGAAACACAGCCTCCTTAATAATGTTGGAATTAGTGTAATTTTTAAACACTTATGAATATAATTATTAGCCTGCGTTAGAAATATTAACATCAAACGTGTGCTGTGCTGAAAGGAGCAGACCTCAGAGCTGTCAAGTATAAATCTATCAAACAAAATTATATGTACATATGTAGCTGTCTAAGAAGAAAATCTAAGTAGGATAGATCCCAAAGTCTTTATAAACACCTCTAATAACACACACATAAATATGAGTTGCATCATACAAAAAAACCCAACAACATATAGATTTAAATATTATCATACCACTACTAAAAGATATTTTTTGCCAAAGCCGTGGCACTCTTGCACATTACTGAAAGAAGTGCTAATTTAATAAACATGTTGCTAGCTGCATTCAAACTAAACAGCAATCATATATGTTCGTTGCTGGATGTGCACAAAGTCATGGATTGCAAAACCCCTTGTTAGGAAACAAGCTGTATTTTATCAATGAATATATTCTTCTTGGGATTTTATGGCTTTGCTTTAATGTGGACGGTCACTTTCCCTCCTTTGTTTGGAAAAGGTACAGTTTATATTTCTTCCCGGATTTAGCATTTCCCTTGAAGGTTTTTGTGATTAACAATATAATAATTTTATTGAGTTATTTCAGACACAAATGACTGAGCCCGAAGGGTATTCCAGATTTACAAGATTTTGCTAATAACTAGGCTCCCCTTTGTATTAAAACTGCTAATTAGTGCTTTTAAACAGCTCAACATTTAATTCTTTGAAGGCACCATATCAAGGGCTGATATAAAACTGTTTATGTAGGATATATAAAATAAGAAGGTGTTAAACCCAACACAAATTGAGTGGCAGGGGGTTCCCTAAAGTGCTAATTTTATGTTTGTTTTCGTCTCATTTAAAGTTAAGATGTCTGCATTACAACAGTGAAGTGTAACATGCTTTACATACAGATTAAGCAAAATGTGTCAATTTATGAGCCTTATTTGCCTGGAGATGTAGTCACTCGTAGTTTCATCAGTGCTTTTATGCATGCATATATATGTGCACGTGTTTTTTGTATGTGGGTACATAAAAATGTGTGTGTATATACATAGCTCTGTGAGTACCCGCACACAGAGGAACTCATTTTTACGTCCTTATTAGCGAGCCTCTGCATGGCCCCTTAATTCAGTGATTATGGGGAAACTTATAACTAATTAATTATGTGAGATTGCTCATTTAAAATTTTTAAATATTTCATTTCATTTAAATACACTGTGACGTTTTAAGGCCGCATTTTGTTTAATTGGTATTGCTAAACAGAACTGATTTATACACGCTGAGGATATCAGATGGCTGTAATAGAGAAATAAATGACTTGTCAGCTGCATTCTATCATTCTATCCTCCTTTTCTCCAAGTCAGTCTTCAGAACATCGCAGAAATTCACTAAAAACGAGGCAATTTTCACTCAAAAGTGCTAGTTTCTTATTAGTGAACACTGAACAACTGCTTCTAGGAAACAGAAAAACACACATGAAAACTAACTTTTTTTTTTTTTTTTTTGGTCAAAGCCATTGTTCATATCAATTTAATTCTGAATTCTTTGTTCAACAAGGTTGTAACAATAATCGCCTTATCAAGTGAATTTCTGGCTATCATCAAGAACTGTGAATTGTATGAGAGTCTCAGCTGCCCATCTTCAGCTGCCCTTGCTTCGTGTCTGCAGAGCACCATCACTGTGCTCCACTCTCCACACCCACTTTCAGAGGTGTGATAATAGTTTTCCAGTACATCTCCATATACGCCTGTAAGATAATGCAATATCCTGCAGATGCCAGAGATCAGACCTTGGAAGGGAAAAACTCCATGCAGAATTCTACCCCAAATAAGTGTACTTAGTGTGCAATTAATTGGTTTTCAGGCTTTGAGCTCGAGTACAAGTGTAGTCATTTCAGGGTTCACATGCAAAACTGATGAGAATTTATTTATGCAACCTAGTGGCCGTGCATAATAATCTATTAAGAATAATTTACATAGTTCCAAAATTGTTTGACGCAAACATTAAGATGGAAAATGTCACCAAGGTAAAGCTGCAAAAGGTGGTGTGGTGGGAATGAAAAACTATCTACCAGGCAAGATAACAAATACATCAATTTTTTTCTTCTAATGCTATTCTTATCGCAAAGAAATGGAAGAATTAAATATCCACCTTTTGCATTGTATGGTAAACTTTTTTGAGAGTTCCCATCTCAAACTGCACTCTGTTCTACCTTTTCACTTTTAATAGACAAGCAGTAGACACCAAGATCTGGCTGCACTGGCCAACATACAAACACATGGTAAAAATAGACTTTCCTCATAGATATCAGTCTGAGTGGACTGCCTGTTCATACAAAGATGATAATGTAAGAATATGAGCTATAGCATCTTTGTGAGATTGTTACTTCAAGAACAGTGCTTCACCACTATGTTATGTTTACTTAGGCAAGCGTTTTTCTCTTTTGCAGGATGAATCACTTACTTTGCAACCAATGGTACACTGAGCTCAAATGTTTCGGTCTGTTTATTTTATATGTATGCACTAAAGCAGTGGGTGGAAATGAATTGGCAAAACTCAAGATTTTCTTAGCATGATCTTGAGTAAAATCCAGTGTGGCTTTTTAAAACTTTATATCAAAAGGCCTGTATAATCTTTACCTCATTCCCAAAGCATACGATCAGTTGGCATTCTCAAGGCAGCAGTAGTAATGCTGTCCCCGCAGCTTCAGGAGCAAGCATAAGCATTTGCAACTGATTTATGCATCTCACCACACAATGAGGTATCTAGAAAAATGTATATTATTTGATGTTTCAAATTCAAGGTGAAATTATCTATATAGTGCTTTATAGTTGCTTCTGTATTATAACCTAATACACATTAATATCCCATTTTCATGGTCTTTGTTTCTCTGTTCCTAACTCGGCTTCCCTGGGAGAGCCTCTGGGAGCAAGAAAAATTGGAAAGTTGCCCTGACTCTCATTCTGTCCTGACACATGTGTTGGTATGCTTCAGAGCAGCCTAGAGGCAGCCTCGACAAATAACATCTGGCACTTTGCCTTCACAACTTGCATTTATCCTAGTGAACTTTAGGCGCACACACTGAGGCATCTTTGGTGGGAGCCCATCACTTTGTTTCCTCTCTAGGCAACAAAGACAGCCATATTCAAAATGGGCTTCCCCAAGGCACATGGGATTTGGTTTTCTTTATAAATTAATCTCATAAAAGAAAAGCAGTTCTGATGTGAACTCCAGACGAAGTAGAAATGGGAGAGCAGCTCTGTTATTTCTCCTTTTTGTAACTTTGTAAGCCTGGCCATTAAGCCAATGGCATCAGCTTCCTTACTACAGATACATGGATAATTCCAGCTTTTACTCTAGAGTTTCTAAGAGCTGTCAATAGCTGAGCACTTGGAAAAGTCAAAAAGTCATCTGTATGGCCATTTACTTTACCAGGGGACATACCAAATTCCTACATTGCTTCTGTGTGAACTTACTGTTCTGAAGAGTTGCTTCATAGGACTGCATGACAGTCCAACTCCTAATAAATCCCACCTGACTGAAATGAATTAGGTCTGGGAATATGTGTTCCAGATTATTAACCAGCACCTTTGCAAGTAACTTACCATCCACATTTATTAAAGATATTGGGTGATAATTTGTGCAGTGTTCTGGATCTCTCCCTGGTCTAAGAATTATGATAATTAGTGCTCAGAGAGAGGATGTCATTCATATGTTTCTCAGGGTGCAGAGAATAGCATATCATTACACTCCTTTTAGATTTGAGATGGATAACTCCAAGACTATTCCTATCTTTTAACCTTGGCCAGCCAGGAGACTGCTTGGCCGAGTGGATGGGGGCTCAGATTGAGGGTCGGGATGGTTCAGAGAGCTGTAAAGTGGGAGATCACTCCAGGAGGAAGGATCAGTGAGGAGGCTGATATAAGCACTGGTGCCACGCAGTGACCACTCTGAAAAGCCTTTTAAGACCTAAAAAATGCAGAAGGCAGAAGATAAATTACCATCTGCATTTGGAGATATCAGAAAGTGGGGCTTTGAATTCTGGGAGATAATTTAAGAGAGAATAAAACCGTAAACTCCCACAGGAATGTACGTTTTAAATTCACTTCTGTTAGCGGATTTTCGCTTCCCAAAGTCCTCAGAACTACATCTGCACCGGTCCAAAGCAATGCATCTGCCAGAATTTCTCAAATCTGGTACCCTCACATTGCAGAGATTCAGGAGATGTGTAGCTGTGTCCTCCACCTGAGTTACACTGACACTGCAGCCTCTGGATTCCTCTGTTTGAGCACAATGCCTTTGCATCACTTTCTTGGAAGAGAAAGTAATCTATGTTACCACATCTTTATTTCTATCTACACTCAGACAGGCACACAAAAGACTGTGATAACAGTACCATAAAGTCAGGTTTTTTTCACTGATCTGTAAACTTGGCTTATTCTGTAGCTAGTCATTACACCATGCAGTAATTTTCATGGTGCTATTTTGGGGGACAAAAAAAACCCAACTTTCTCCTTCAACAACATATTCCTGCTTGACTTTCATCAAAGACTTAAACAGCCAAGGGCTTTTAGCATCTCATTTCACTTACACACACA